TATACAATTTATTATATTATAATATTATATTAAAAAAGATACATTGAGATATATGTAGATATACTAGTATGATTAATTTTGAGCGAACAAAAATTAGTTGAGTTTGATTTYATCAAATGAAAAATAMTTTTTCYAATTTTGTAAAAAAAAATTGTTGAAATTTGCCGCCCTCCAATGTTGCCACTCTAGGCCCGGGCCTATAGGGCCTGTGCCTAAATACGCCTCTGAATATGACCTATATCCTATAGAATGATATTTGTCGATACATACTTGATTATAAAACCATTAATCAGAATATTTCAATACAATATAATTATATACGGAATTTTATATAATAAATAAAATATATGAGTTTAATCGGACTATTAATTAAAATGATATTAGAGGTTTAGAGAGTTAAGCACGAAACACTGAAAATTTTAAAGAAAATAATATCTTTTACATCTTACAAATTAAATTTAAATCAAAGTAGGTACCGTATGTACCTATATCTCAGTAGTTGATACTAAATTGCATTTTTTAGTAATTTCAACGATAAAATATATTGTCACGATCATTATAATACACTGTAGTAGAATTATTCTAACGGCTTACTATAACTTGACCTTGGTTTATATGTATACAGACTTCAACCGACCAAATAATGTTAGAACTATAATGACTAATGAGTAATGACATTATAATGGCATTATAAATTTTTATTTTTTGAAGAATTTTATTTATTATTGAGAAATATAATTAGTATAGGTAGTAGGTATCTAACACTATGTATAATGTATATACTACAATGAAAATGTATCAATCCTAAATTTCATGTTGTATAGTTAATTTTAAAACTCTAAGCAAAAGTAATGTTTTTTTTATAATATATAGGTTTTTAAGTTTTTTCTAAAAAATATCCAAAAGAAAAAAAAATAACTATTAATAATATCACCTTACGGATAATCAAGAACTGGTTATGTAGTAGAATATAAAAATATATGCATGTACATAATTATATCACAATTATAAATACCAACTGCATTAAAAGTAATATTTTATAAACTAAAATAATGAACAATTAAGATTGATTAAGATTTATACATTACAACAAACTAAATTATTTAGCTCCAGCATACAAAAATATCAGTATAATTATTATTAACTATAAGATAATATTATAACGATTCATAACTGTATCAACTCAAACCTATACTCAAACTCTTATTAGCACATAAATAGAGTGTATACAACTTAAATTAATATTATTTTAATAACCAAGACACGTTCAATAATTATATATTTTTTAGGCTGTATTCAAAACAAACAAATCCCAGTTTTGTGTAGGTCATAGTTAATCCATAAGACATTATTTACGGCATATTATGTTAATTTTTATAGATGAGAAGTGAAAAATTAATTAATATAAATGTTATTCTGTCTGGCTGTAGTCCGTTGTATAATATTCTTCTACAGAGTCCAAACAAATCAATAGGTTTAACTTATTTCTAAGTTAAACTGTATTTATTTTAAACATTATTATTTTATTCATAAAAATTAATCGAGCATAAACATAATAAATTACTTTCAAACTTTTTTCTTAAATGTAGGATAAAAGGGTAAAAATACAAGAATAAAATTACTGTAAAACTTTGTTAAATATTCTATAACTTAATAATAAATAAGCCAATTAGGTATAGTTTTGTTAGGCGTAATAAATTTAAAATAACATATGAAGCGTAAAAAAAGAAAACGTGATAACTAAAAAGTATATAAATTTTTTTGACGAATACCTATATATTATATAAAACATTTCCCAGTATTACTCACATGATTACATTTTATATTATTACCATACATTTTTATAAAGTTGGTGTAATTGTGTAATGTGTAAACTAAACGTCATAATATATATATATATTACTATTATGTATTAATGTACTACCTAACAAATTAAACAAAAATTTTAAGTTTTAATAACTTTAGATTTGGATTAACCTTTATTACTAAATTAATATAATTGATTTCACGGGTTAAAAGTAATAATTCAATAATATTGTAATTATTTTTTTCAATTGAAAGTTTAAATAGATTAAAATGAACACTGAATACTGACTATTGAGTTGTACATTTTACCTGAATAATAAAAAAATATATTGAAATTTAGATTATTGATTACAAATTACGAGCGGTTACAATTTACAACCCAATTTAATATATTACAATTTTAATTATCTAATAAAATTAATTTATTTTCTTTCAATCATGCATCATCATCAAAATAATTCATAAAATCGAATACCTAACATAATATCAATGTTTCGGGCAGTAAATCTGAACACGTTTGCCCGGGGATCTCCTCTCGTGATCACATTAGAATCTGATATATTTTAATATGTTTATTATTTCTATATATAGCATATTATACATAACTATAAATTATGGTAAGGGGCAAACCACAAAAAAACTCATTACCTGTATGGATTTACAGACAACGATTTTTTTTTGAATTTTGACCAAAAACCTACTATTTATTTAGCACTTGAGTATCAAACTAAAATAGWACAATTTGTAGGCTGGATGATAAAATGTAAGCCATGGTTTAATAATAACAAAAATTTATCAGTGTTAATGATAATATAAAATATTGTTAGGTATAGAGTATAATATTTTAACGATAGAACACGTGCCAAAATCTTTGTGTAATAGCTGATAATGTTATTTTTTAAATTTAATATTGAAACATTCTACGGTAAATTATTAAAATAAAATTATAATGGAAAATTCTCAACAGCTTAGTTATAATGGTAAAGCCGTTTGCACGCGTGAGTATATCACCGTATCTATTTTTAGCAATATGTATATAATTTAAGTATTTATATTTTATATCTGGATTAAGCTTGTATCAGTTGCAGAAGTTCCCGGAAATGACGTTAATATAAACAATTGAATAATATTATATAATATAGCTACTCATTGTTGTTGATACAGAACAACAATTTATTATTATTTGCCATTTGGGTACCAGTACAATATAACATATATTAAATTTGATTGAGAAATATTTACGGAACTTTTAGGTACCTATAGTGCCCTAGTACAAAACACTAATATAAGAAGTTATATATTTAAATTATCCTTACCCACAGAGGTATTTATTAATTGAATTGATTTACATTAACAATTTAAACAGAATTGTTCAAAATAACATTTAATAGCTTACTCGATTAGTTAAGCGTTTTAACCTTTCACTCATAACATTTTATAATTATACAATAACCGAAATACTTTTTTATTATAACGACGGAACAAAACTTCCTAGTTATTATTTAAGATTTAATTAATTTTTTCCAAATATTATCAACTGTCAATACGTGCTCTAATAAAACATAATAATATGAACACCTTCCCGCTTTCCTCCTTACCGGTTTGGTTTGATGTTCCTACCGGAACGTGTAACTGCCACGGATTGGAGAAACGTTAAGAATTCAAATGTTTTATATTAGATACCTACACTATATTATCTATTTCTTCTTAAAGTAGGTATCTAATAACTTAACAAAGATCGACAAACATTAAAAATAAAAAGTAATGTATGTTATTGTTGTACAATAAAAAATAATAATATTAATAGTACCTATTAGTAATTATTAGTAATAAATAATAACCGTAAGTGTTAATGATAATATTAGTGAGAAAATCAAACGAGACTAAATATTAACTGGTAAATAATATTAAAGCTAGTATAAGTACTCACGGGAAGTTGTTATGAAGACGACGTTGTGTCCAGGGTCTTCCGGTACCACGGATAATTGGGTCAGGAGTGCGAGTAAATACAGGTAGGTACGTATATTATTTAATCGGTGCGATAAATGGACGACGGTCGGGATATGATATAATATAGTAATAACGTTATAAGTACCGACAGTGTTGTGGGCACACGGTGAGGACACCCGTAAGGCTGCACGGGAAACGTCCGGAGATTATGGCATCGACGAAGCGGAAACGGTCAACGGGGAGAAGATTCGTGTTGACGAGTCAAAAAAACTGAAACCAATGACGACGAAGTGCCCACCGGGAGAGACGTCGGCGGCGCTGATAAGGGGCGAGCAGCGCGGCGCCGCGCGACCGTTTGATGGATACGTGTGGGGAGGGTAGTGGGGGGACTGGGCGAGTGTGCGTGTGTTCGGCAGCTGGACGCAGCGGACGCGTGCGACTA